TGGTAAAAAATTATGCTAAATTTGCCAAAATTATGCCTAGCATAGGCCCTGTCTCTTATACACATCTAGATGTGTATAAGAGACAGGTATTATATTGAATAGCTGACTAAAACCTTACCAAAAACAGTGATTAATATCATATCTTCGTAAGTACTTATCCAATTTTAACGGGAAAAGCGTGAAAATGTTCAAAATCATGAAATACAACATTATTTGTAGCCCACTATATAACATTATAAAATAAATGTGCATCAGTCAAGGATTGCTTATGTGTAGCTGTGATAACCTAAGAGATTAATCACAAGATAAAGGCTAATCCTTTTTTTCCATTTAGCCATGGATCTCAACTTGCAATGAATACCCAAAATCAGTTTTCACAACTTTTACCAGAATTTTTACATAAATAAGTGGATTTTTGAAGGTGGATTATTAAAATCAATAAATATTGTCATCTTACTTCTTCTTTTCCAAAGCTTCCCCCAATGATATACACATTCCTCTTTCGTTATGTAGCTTCCATTGGGTCTGCGTAAAAATGCTTTGCCACATCGTGTACATATGTTATGATTTGCTGCAAAGGAACATTATATATTATTATTAATAGACTGAGAAGGAACAAAAAACTATTTACTACTAGAAGAAAGAAGCCGTCACACAAAGTTGAGATATAAGAACATGATGCAAGAAAAGGAAGAACCATCAAACCCTGAATGCGAATAACAATGTGAAAACTAAAGAAGTTTTGTATCCAACAGTGGGAAATTTAAAAACATCTAAACTTAGGAAAAAAAGGATGACAGTTATCAACAAGAATCTAGAATAAAGGGGAGTTACTTGACCTTGCTGTGGGTTTTGAGGTGGGACAAGGGGTACCAGCACTTTGTATAGGCACTGAAAGGCACTATATATACAAATGACAGACGAATAGAATAGAATGTACGTACGATCTGAAGACCTGACAGCTTTCTTTTCTTCATTGTAGACGATAGCCTTGCCTGATCTGTCTGGGTCCGATCTAGGGTAACCATTGTCCTTCAGTTCTTGTTCTGACATCATGTATTTCTTCAACTTGTTATATAAAGCTAAACCTAAAACAACAAAAACAATATTGTTATTAGCATTTTTTTTATCTAGATAGAAATGATATTCAAAATATAATGTTTAAAACATGTTGTCTGCCAAGCCTTTTTTCTTGGATTCATTCCATATGCCAAGACATAAAGGGCACCACCATAATTGAAATATCAATCCCATTAACTGTAATGAAATATGAACAAACATTTTTTAGACTTCTGGGTTACTTCCTTGAATCTCAAGGGCCAGAGTTCACATTCTGGTGACCACTGGTATGTTTAGACAGGTGTGGAAGTGAACTCACGTCCTGGTGCCCTGAGTGAATCTTGGCAGACGTGAACTCGTGTCACTGGCATTAAACGTGTTATTCCATAATTGTAAAGATCATATTATCATTATATTTGGCATCATTATCACTGGGTGTTATGGTATATACCGTACTCGCGTGAATAAGCGCCCGGGCGCTTAAAATATTTTTTGCACTTTCTGAGGGGCCCTTATTCAAACGGGGCACTTATTTAAATGGGGCGCTTATGAAAACAGAGTGGAAATTGAGCGGGCGCTTATCGAAATAGATGAAAATCGAGGGTTCTTATGGGAAATTATTTTAATAATTAAACATTCAAGAGGCACTTTTTGAATGAAAACAAGATTATATAAAGACATTACGAATGGTGGTTAGAAAAGATAATCATCCAGAGAACATGGCTCAAAACAAGAATGCGTGAATATTTACATAACAGCAAAATAGCAGATGCAATTAGTGGTGGGTAGTAGTTAGCTTGTTGGCCATCAGCCAATTGAGATTAGCAGGATGGCAGGATCATTGTATTTTTCTTGAAAACTCAGATGAGAATGTGCTTAATTTCGAAAAAAGAAAAAGAGGAGTAGGACTAGACATAGACAAATATGTAAAAAGATTAAAGTTGGAAATATACTGTCTGTCCAGGTATCGGAGCTCTCATCTGTCCAGGGATCGGAGCTCTCATCAGTCCAAGAGAAATATAATATCCTTATTTTGATATTGACTGAAGAAGAATGTGTTTCCAGTCAGTCAGTCAGTCAGTCAGTCAATCGGTCAGTCAATCGGTCAGTCAGTTTTCCACTCTACAGCTCAAATCATGCCAACAACCACAGTCCCAGGATTGATTGGATTATTGACTTGCTAAAAAGAAAATCTAATGAGGGGGCGCTTATTCAAATTAGAAGGGGGCGCTTATTCAAATGGGGCGCTTAAGGAAATTTTCACGTTAGGAGGGGCAGTTATTTGAGAGGGGCGGTTATTTGAGAGGGGCGGTTATTTGAGAGGGGCGCTTATTCAAACGGGGCTCTTATTCACGCGAGTACGGTAACTATCAACACTCTTATCTTGTCTCTTAAAATAATGAGTTTTTATTATTTTGAAATATCCTCAAATTTCGAGACCCTCTACTTTGAGATCAGACAAATTTTTTAAGTGCCAACTAACAATCTAACCCACACTAATAACCCTATTGTTAGAGAACGAACCCCTAAGGGGCATCCCCCCCCCCTTTTTTCCAGGTCCCGAAGGTGGTCTTGAAATTAGAGGGTTAACTGTATATTGATGTATGAGAAATTTAAACCAGTCTGACCTCCGAGTTTTGATGGATCTGCCATTATCCTCTCTTCAAAACTGAAGCTTGTTTTTGCTGCAAGTTTGCCTCCAATGTTCGCCAAATGTGACACAGTTTTCTTGGGGGACACAGACAGACTTCCTTTAGAGTTTCTACAGTTCATTGTCCTTATCCTTTTTACAGTGTTAATACAGACATTCAAATATACGTTTTTAGATGAGGCTTTCTCGCATGCCACCTTCTCTTCTTCCAAAGCCTGTAATGCAATTATATATAATAAAAATGTTGTATTTAAATTACACCAATAATATTTCGAACAACATATTAAAGTAAAGCTTTCCTTGGGATAATCTTATTCAGAGGTCATCTCTATTAAGGGGACACTTTTTCAGCTACAAAATGAAGGAAAAAGTATCTTTCAACACTATGGTCCACCCCTATTAAAGGGGAGAATTTTTATCCTGGAAATGCTCCATTCAAAGGGGTTCTACTGTATCTGTGTTCAAAATAGTAGAATTGAACAACAAAATTCAATATTTGAATTGCAATACCCATGCCCACCTGAATCACTTGAAATTTTTGCACAAGTGTTTGGGCACGTAATACACTGTTCAGTATGAAAACATGTCACGTTGCGTAAGAACATCATTTCTATTGTGTTTCTTAATGCAAATTTCATGCGAAAAAAAAAATTCTTTAGTCAATTAAAAACCACATAATTTGATTTCTATACTTTGTACAGTATATATCCTTAAATTGGCTCAAAATAGATTAAGGACTTTTATAGTGAAAAAGTTTGTAGATCATAAATAACTGAAATTATTTAGATCTGTTTTTAAAGATTTTACCACACAATATATTATTAAGAAAACAATATTCTTTCATCAATAATTATAAAATAATAATAATAACGTTAAAAATTATAATGTGCACAAATCCATTACAGTAGTGCTCAACAATACATGTGTTGGTAAAGTACAGTGAAAAGATGCAATATACAAATTTGTATCTTGTCCCTTTAAACACATTAATACATTATATTTTAAAACTATAACACTACGTTCTTGTCTGTCCAACTCCATGAAGCTACAATATATGTTTCTTTAATACTTCAAAGTATCTTATAATAAGTTTGATTACCTTCAAATAAGTTTCATGTATTACATTACAAGTCACTTTCTGTATAAATGGCTATAAATCATTCCTTATTTTACATTTAATTACGGGTTGACTATCGTCTTACACAAAGTAAACATAAAATGATTCATGTTTATGATTACAAGTACTGTAGCTTCAAGCTGGATTTAGAATCAAAGCTGTATATTTTCCATGGGCAAGACACTGTATTCATATGTATGTTTTTCTCCATCCAGGAGCATAAAAATTTATGTTAAAGAATGTGGAACAGTTGGAATATAGTTGGTCACTTAATCAGGAACTGTTAGGTATATCTAACATTAGAAAAAAAAGATAGCAAAATCGTGTGTGTCAGCTGCAGGAAAAGGAATTTGGAGGGAGGCAGGGTATTTTTTACAGATGGATGGGCCAGACCACCTCATTTCCACCATTTTTTAGGCTAAATAGACTTCATGGCTGCAAATGGAATTTTCAGAATAATATACATTTTTTGCTATTTAAAAATTTGGGAGGGGGCGGGGGCATGTGACAGCGGCCAAGGAGACGAATTAAAAGTGATCCAGATTTAGACTCGCTTTGAACTTTTGACTAGAAACTCAAAAGTACGGCTAAACCTAATGTTTTCATTTCCTTAACTTCTTCAAGGGCACAGAACTGACTGGTAACATTTTAATGCCTTGAGAAACTATAGAATAATAATAATAATTATATTATAATAATAATAATAATAACTTGGTTTAGCACTCTCCACAAGACACTTTGCATTATTACCCATGACACAGGAACACCTATACCTATAGAACACTAATCATTCTTGGGGAACTATTCTACAGTATAATTCACTGCATGAAACAAATCAGCGCATAAATTACAAATACCTTTTCAAATGCATGTTGCTCTTCAATCCCTATCTTCAGGAGTTCGTCAATGAATATTGATAGATATCGCTGGCGCACAACATTTGGTATATGTTTACCATACTCTACTGGAACAAGAGGTCTTTTGCTAGCCTTTACAGAGAAAGAAAAAGTAACAATGGAAAACTATTAAATACTTTTAAAAAAAAATAAAATTAACATGAAGATAGTAACATCAGGGGTGATTTCTATAAAAAAAATATCACAGGACTTTATAAACTTATAATAAAAAAAACACTCTTTAAACCTTGCTTCACCTTTTATTTTATTTCAATTATTTCTCTTAAAAACATATAAGAATATATGTTGTATATTTATGTAAAGTTAGTGCTGAAGTGAAAACTTAAGATTATCTAGCAAATTAATAATGCGAAAATAACGTCATTTTAATATTTATTTTTAATAGACTCACAAATCAACCAACCATTTCAGGTCAGGCTTTTAGTCAAATTTGTTGTAAACTTACAGTTAAATTACAGTAGTTTACATCTTTACAGATGAGAGAAATCTAAAAATCAGGTTACAGTGCAGCAACAAAAAACATGGATTAAAAGAGATACCTTAGTTTTGGGTATGTGAGCTAATCTTTTGGACGTTTTATCAGCTGTTCCTGCAATAGTCACCCAGTTAGAGCTCTGTTTGTTACTGGAAGGAGTGACAGCTCTCTTGTCAACAATCCTTGAACGATCAGTTGAAGTCTTAGATGTGCTGATATGTGGTGTTGGTGCCACCTTCTTTGTAGTTGACTGAACTGATTGAGGAGCCCTACTGGGCAGATGTGCTTGTCGCCTCTGAGCAAGTGATGGCTTTGGTTCCAATGAATCTGCAGTTTTACTGGCGAGTAGCTTCTGGAGTTTTAGGTAGCGATTGTGACAAACCTGGGCTGGGCTTGGAACAGCAATACGACGTTTAATTTCAGGCCTCATCTAAAAAAAATTAAAAAGTATGTTCTCTGCAATCAAATATCTCTGCTGGTTGTACAAGTGGTTGATAATTCCTTCAAGTGCTAAGACATGAATTTTACTTAGATCAACCTCTTTGTTCCAATTTAACATTAGTTTTTTTTATATATTGAATTTTGTAAACTTCTTGGGTTGTGTCTTCAAAAAAACAGGAAACTCAAGTGGATACTATTCAGCAGGACCTCCAAAACTGTGTCCTTTTGTCTTTTAGGGAATTTAATCCTTTATTCAAAGAATCAATTTTGATATGCCAATATCTGTATATGTCATACGTCTGTCCAATAACGAAATATACCTCAGTATATATCACAGTGTAGCACTCTTCTATTACCTATGACCAATGTAATGATGGGGAGTCCAGTAATGAGCAATAAAAATAATTAACCTGCAGGGGTCCCAAGTTGGAAAAAGCCACATCAGGGAGATTGTTATTAAATAAGTTTGCTTATTTTGCTCTACATGGTAACAGCCATCACCAGCTGACTTCTGTGACACTATTGATATACTGTACAGTAATGAAATCATATAAATACAATGAATTTGCGGAGATGGGAGAGTTTCCGGGAGATTTTTGTTCCCAAACAGGATTGTGGAAGGCTGTCTCAAGACTTCCATGACAGTTCACTTTAAGTATCATTAATAGTGACTGCTTTTCATTTGTGCAACGACGCGACCCCAGGACAGAAACCACGCCCTAGAATTCAGACGTTCTAGCTATCAGTTTTCCTTTGTTTTTCTCCTCCTAGGTGTACTACTGTACTTCGTAATACATTCATGTACATACCTTTGGCTGTTTTGTTCCAGAATTGACCAAAAGGCCTTCAATCTGAAAATTAAAGATGCTTACCTCACCATGCCTCGAAACATGGGCTTGTCTTTTACGACCGGTTCTTGAAGCATCCACCAAATCACATGAGATTTCCTATCAAATATAGTATAAAATATATCACAATAAAATAGTACAGGAGACAAAGTACGGATCCAATGATTTTTGTTTACAAGTAATATAATGTTGAAGGTACTAATAAATAATTTCTTTGGACAAATGGGACATCCAAACACAAAGCAAATATATCTGATCATCATCATTACTACTAATGTACTGTAATTTGTTTCACACTATATTGGGAACTGAAGTGATCTCATATTATTCCACAAATTGTATGAATGTTACAAAAAAAAAAGCAATGATGACAACTGTTGAACAATGTACAAAACAGTAAATGATGATAGAACATAAAGCAATATCTAATTAATTTTAAAATCTCAAATGTTTGTACAGTATTACCATTTTAATGTCCGGAGTTTCTTCAGTTTTAAATTGAGTTTCTTCGTTAAAAATCCTCAAACATTCTTCATATGTATCTGTCTCAAAATCTGTGAGGTCACTTGCAATATCAGAACTGTCAATAAGAGATATGTCAACATTATCTATGTCAGGACCATCGGTTGATGAATCACTATCTGTTGTAATATTCCTTTCATTTTTATTTGTTCTCGGAGTGTGTGGCAATGCTTTGCTAGTTGTAGTCTTTCCCGACACTTTTGAGCAAGTTTTTAAAGTCTGTTTTTCTTGATGCCTGGTCTTGTCTTTAGAATATTTTTTGTTGTTTATGGCTTCTTCAATAACATTCTTAGCAGTGTGCGCATTATTGGTCATTATTGTGGAAGTCTCCATCTTCTTTCGCTTTACAATTCCTATTTCTTCATCTGAATCTTCACCAAACAGCTCAATGCTTATTTTCCTTTTGCGTATCTTTGGCAACAATTTAGATTCTTCACTACTGGATGACAGGCTATAGACATCTTTCTTTGCGGGTTTGCTTTTACTAACCTTCTTTTGTTTAATTCCATGCTTTTTCTTTGTTTCTTCACTACTGGATGATGGACTGTAGATATCTTTTTTTGAACTTAACACTGGCATACTTTCAACAACCTTGACATGTTTCAATATTTTATCACCTTTTTCTTTCTGACTTTCATCACTGCTAATAGTTAAATCAATAAAATTCCCATTTTCCAATGCCTTTTGACTACATTTTTCTGAAGTACTAAATTTACCATTGTTTTCGTGTACTAAAGAACTTTTAGATTTTGAAACATTCTGTTTACCTGATTTTAAATCACATGATTTCAATTTATCAAAAATGTTTGAATTTGAAGAAATGTCTTTAGATTTTACTTTCAACTGTTTTGATTCAGTAGCTGTTTTTGAATCATCCCTTTTTGACGCTTGATCCAAAGTTTCACATGATTCAGATTTTCCATCGTTTGAAGGTTTATTTGATTTCAATACTGAGCTCTTAGATGTTTTTGGGGAATCTTTGATTAGCTTTTTTTGTAGCTTATCTGAGTCTCCTTTCTTTTTCAACACTTTAGTCACAGAGATTTTCTCTGATTTTATCGTCTTGTCAATTGCTTCACTTTTCTTTTGATTGTTTTTCACAGAGGTCCTTTGACTATGTAACTTTGATAATTTATCTTTCTTTGTAGAAGTTTTGTCAACCTTCAGTTTGTCAATAAATTCATCCAACTTCACATTTGGAGTCTCAAGTTTTGTTTCACCAGTTTTGTTTGTCTTTATCTGCGAGAGCATTCCTTGTTGAACACTCTTTTCCTCTGAGATCTCAGACTTTGTTTTAGCAGGTTTGTCCTTATTTTTCTCCGAGATCATTTCACTGAATGACTTAGCTCTTTTAACTTTTTGTGTGGTGGTTTTTGAATCTATACGTTTCTGATAAAATTCAGCTAACTCTTCTGAGGAAATCTTAGGTTTTGTTTGAACATGTTTTTCTTCATTATTGGTTTCCATGTTCTCATCTTTGATACCTTCCTCATTTTTATTTTCTACTTTGCTTGGCGCATCCTCTTCATCAGAGCTAAACTGTGCATCATTCAATTTCATGACTTCATTTGCTTTTGATTTTTTGTGGGGTATTTGCGCATCATCTTCTACAGCAGCCCTTTTACTTGATTTTTCGCATTCAATCAAGGGAAAAGCCATGCTATCTTTTCCAATCAAAGCGCTTGCAGAATAATTCTTAACTGGGTCATATGTCAGTTCATTGTCTGAAGAAGATGGAGTTGATTCATATTTATGGGTCGCTTGTGTATCTTTTTTTGTTGCATGATACACAAACTGGCCATCACTTGAAAATTTGTCTTTTTCCTCATATTCATTTTTATTAAATGCTGCTTTCACTACAATTGGGTCATATTCACTATCACTGACATCAGTGGAAACCAAGCTGTCTAAAGAATATCTTTTTGAATGATACACATTATCTTCATCATCAAGGTGTTTTTCAGGGTTTGGTAGAGAATAGGGTCTTCTAAGGAATTTGGTATTCTTTTCTGGGATTGTGGGATTGTTTTCTTGGAGTTCTGCAGGGATGGAAGTGTCTGCAGGAACATCTGTCTCCGGTACTATAAAGTCAGAAACGGATTCAGTACTGCCAAAATGACCATATAGACTTGTGGCTTTGTAGGTATAGGACACCTCAGAAGAATTTGCAGTTTTGATTTCAGAAGAATTATCTTTTTGTATTGGAGTTGCTTTGTACTGCACAGTACTGCTTGAAGATGGTGTACTGTCCTTGATTTCACTTGCTTCTCCTTTCTTGGGACAATTAGCCAATGGTGTTGCCACATATGAGCATCCATTGCCACTGACGTTTTCAGCAGGTTTTAGACAAACATTAGAGATTTCTGCAGGAGAAAAAAGGGTATAATTTTAAAATGTTGATATTCATTCATTTCTGAGCAACCTGTTTGGATTTAGTACTGTATCCTCACTTTAGATATGACATTTTGTATTTCAGGGTCTAAATTTTAAATTATACCATGTCATTTTTTTTTTCTGTTTTTCAGATTTCTGCATTCCTTTCCCTACAAGGCTAGAATGCTGGTCACTTCTGCCAAAAAACAAATCGGCCCAAACCAACTCGGCCCCAGGCGACACTTCGGCCCAAAACCAACTCGGCCCCAAAACCAACTCGGTTATTCAAGACGGCAGGTTAAAATAGTTGGGTGGTCCCTGTGTTGTGAAATGAATGTTGACTTATATTGTCAGTTTTTGCATGGAAAACATATTGGGTGTTGCCAATCTGAAATAAACAGTTTACCAAAAAAATATTTACTAGCAATAACAGCAGTACACCTGATTAATTCCAAAGTGTTAGATTTATTGAAAAAAAAAACAAACAAATAACAAAAAATCCCCTGTTGGGGCAGCCAGCCTAAAATAAGAGTAAGCCTACCGTTTACTTTAAAACCTTTCTGTCATGAATTGAAAAAAAAAAAAAAAAACTTTGCATGTAGCCAGTGTGTACCTGAATAAATCCATATATTCATGTATTTTGTTTACTTTATATTCATACAAATATACATTATTTTATAAAAGTATGTTAAGATTCTTCTAAAAAATAATTAATGGGACTAGTAATAATTTGGATAATATTAAAAATAAGTAATAAGAATAGTATAGGCCCTGTCTCTTATACACATCTAGATGTGTATAAGAGACAGGAATCTATCAAAAAATCCCCTGTTGGGGCAGCCAGCCTAAAATAAGAGTAAGCCTACCGTTTACTTTAAAACCTTTCTGTCATGAATTGAAAAAAAAAAAAAAAACTTTGCATGTAGCCAGTGTGTACCTGAATAAATCCATATATTCATGTATTTTGTTTACTTTATATTCATACAAATATACATTATTTTTTAAAAGTATGTTAAGATTCTTCTAAAAAATAATTAATGGGACTAGTAATAATTTGGATAATATTAAAAATAAGTAATAAGAATAGTATAGGCCTAATGAAAAATAATATTATTATTAGGCCTATATATGATATTAATAATTATAATAACAAAAATAAATATAATAATATAAAAATTATAAAATATATAATTCGGATAATATAAAAATAAATAATAAGAATAGTTATATTCAAAAATAATATTAGACCTAGGCTATAAACAGTATTAATAATTATAATAATAATAAAATAATAATAATAATTGTCTTTAGGTATTAAATGGGTAATCGCGATCGCTATTCATCTTGGTAATTCGGTATCATTTGGGTACAGTAGTTGTCGTCTGGGCCGAGTTGATTTTAGACCGAAGTGTTGTCTGGGGCCGAGATGGTTTTGGTCCGACTTGGCTTGGGCTGATTTGGTTTTAGGCCGAAGTGACCAGCTACCCAAGGCTAGGCCTATGCCTAGCTGGGCTAGCCTATTATATATTATTATAGGCCTAGGGCCTAGCTAGGGTAGGCCTGGCTATAGATAGGCGTACTGTATTTCTGTCAGACAAGCCTAGCCTACCCTACCTTCGATTATCAATCAACATCATTACCAGACAAGCTTAGGCCTAGGTAATTATACTACTGTAATTGTCAACCTGCACAAAGAATCTCCAACAAGCGTAAGCCTAGGCCTTAGTTAGAGGGCCTGGCCTAGGCTAGGCCTAAGCATCTCTAAAAGAATATAACCCGCACGCACCTTTGGAACTTCGAACGTGCCTAAAGTGACAGTAAGGCCGACGACACATGCCGCGGCCTTGGATATAGAATGGACAATTTACCCCTCGGAAATAGCCAGAAGAAGTAAACATGGCGGTAATTAATGGTATGGGCGACTAATCTGCTTCACATCATTGTTCCTTGTCACAAAATAAATTAAATACAATATTTTGTACGAACGATAGGAAGGCCTAGGAGGATAGGCCACTGTCCTGTTTTTATTTTTTCCACTCGTTCTTTTGCCTATGGAACGCCATCAGCGCTTTTATTTATAGTCAGTTAACACAAAGATAAGATAGTAGTTTACTCCAAAAGCATGCTCCAAGTCAAAATGCACGCCATCGTGTCGGGATTTAATATTTCGATGATGACATTAAATTAATGTCGAAATATTGAATCCCGACACGATGGCGTGCATTTCGATACTTGGAGTATGTATTATACCAGGGGTGGCGCCAGGATTTGCCCGAGGCCCCCGGCCCCCCGGGGGGCAGGCCGATATGCCCCGAAGAGGGGACAGATTTCCCCGACGAAACCAAAGTGGGCGTGGTCCTTCGATTAAAAGGTTTCGAAAGTGGTTGACAATTTAGGGGTTTCAAAGGCTTATTCGATTTTAGGGTTATGTAGAAAATACATATAATTTTTTTTTTCCTCCCCGACGAATTGTGCTTTTTCTCCCCGAC